ATATTCATAATAATGGTTGGACTTACCCTTTTTGACTCACATTTCTAACTTTACTCGTATCCTCTTGCAGACTTAAGTTAGACTCAAGAAGAATGTAGCTGTGCCCTGGCCATAGCTAGAGTCTAAAGTACTATAACTATACATAAACTCTACTACACATCAAGAATCACAGAAAACATTCATTCACTTATACATCTGATTTTCAGCATATGTTTATTAACTGCTTACAATGCACTGTTCTAGGAACAGTATTGGAAAACTGGCCATGACTGCAATATATTCATATTCCCTTTTAAATTTGTAGTAACTGTTAAATCCACCCATCTCCACAGTGATTTCTTTTTAGCAGTGTTTATCCAGCAAGTATCGTGAGAATGTTACCATTTGTGAAATGCTGTCACTGAAAAAGCTAATTATTTGGAACAGGCAAGATGTCTGCCATTGCCAGCTATTTCGACCAGGCTTTTCAAAATGAAACACCAACAATGGGCCATTTTACTATTGCTGGCATGACATTTGGTTTGAGATTTGAAACTTTTGGCTGGCCATTTCCCAAGGGGCCACAGTGAAGGCTCAGGGGGCCTCTTTGTAAAAATGAACCACAGCAGGGAGACACCGGTGTGTGTCGGACATGGATTCAGCTGTGCATACACAGTCAGCCTGTAGCACAATCACAGTTCATAAAATGCCATGTCCCTCAGGGTTTCCAGAGATCATAGGGAGTAAACAAAAGACAGAGTAAGCACATGAGGCACATTGCTTATAAATGAAAAGCAATATATAAATATCAAAACAAATCCAGAAAAGGCAAATTGGCAATCCATATGAGAAGACTTAATTTGTATTTTGCATATCTTTTGATTTAGCAAATCTACTTACAGGAATTTATCCTTAGGGGTGTGTGTGTCAGGGGGTGGGGATCATAGGGCTTTGAAAATCTATGACTACATGGGCATTTGCTAAAATGATGTTTGTGAGGGAAGAAAGTGGAAACAGCCTAAATATGCACCAAGAGGGGAATGGATAAATTAATTATTATATAATCACACAATGGAATATAATTCAGCCATTAAAATAATATTGTGGAAGAATAATTAAGAACTAGGGAGATATTAATGTTCAGTATATGTTATAAAGTGAACAAGTAGATTAAGAAATATGTACAATATTTTTGAGTTTTTGTTTAAAAATGCATGTATTTGCACACATACACATATATATGTACTATATATATTTAGAGAGAGACTTCAATAGCAGTTTTCTCTAGATGTTGAGCTTATGAAAATTTTAAATATTATTTTTATTTAACTATATGGATTATATTTTTCATAATAGGCATATTTTTTGAGATTAAGAATAATCCCAGGCCGGGCGCTGTGGCTCACGCCTGTAATCCTAGCTCTTGGGAGGCCGAGGCGGGCGGATTGCTCAAGGTCAGGAGTTCAAAACCAGCCTAAGCAAGAGCGAGACCCCGTCTCTACTATAAATAGAAAGAAATTAATTGGCCAACTGAAATATATATAAAAAAAATTAGCCGGGCATGGTGGCACATGCCTGTAGTCCCAGCTACTCGGGAGGCTGAGGCAGGAGGATCGCTTGAGCCCAGGAGTTTGAGGTTGCTGTGAGCTAGGCTGACGCCACGGCACTCACTCTAGCCTGGACAACAAACCGAAACTCTGTCTCAAAAAAAAAAAAAAAAAAAAAAAAAAGAATAATCCCAATTTTATTAGTTTTATTGAACTATTTTCTAAAATGAATACACATTGCTTAGGAAACATTAAATTATTAGAAAAAAGAATCAATTAACTGAAGATGTACATTAAAGGAATTCTTAAACCAAATCTTGAGGTTTTAGGTACACAAAAAGGGAATATATGTCACTGAGCCTTCTTCAATTCTGCCTTCTGCCCAGCAACTTAGCTATCACTCAAAAGTATTAAAAACTTAGAGTTTAAAACATCAGTGTCACATAACCATCCTAGGGCCTATTATCTCCTATAACCAGGACTTTCTTTTTGCCAATGAATGAATCAAAAGGAACTTGTCAATGGGTTAAAGGAGAAGGAAATGATCTTGTTGGGAGGAAGGAGAGAAGACAGGCCCCTGTATAAAGATAGACAGATGCCAGCTGGGGAAGACATGTCTGTGTGGCCACTACTTAGACAGGTACTCAAAGACAGTTCATACATGAACACATTTTCTGTGCAGGCCAGTGGAAGTTTTTCTACTTAAAAAATTAGTCTCAATAGACATCTTCAAAACAACCAAAGTACTAGAAGGTATAAATATGACAGGTATAGAAATACTTGGTCTCTTCCTGAAATCAAGCAGAACCTGAGATTTTACCAGGCAAATGATTTTTATTTTAAATCAAAATAATGCTTTGCATTTAAGTAATTTTCCTCTCTGAAAAATTTTCCATTTCTTTTATGAAAATAGAAAAGAGAACTTTCCCATCAGAGTTTATTTGAAGCATACATAAAATATTGAAATAGACCAGAAACATGTAATTTAACAAATACTCTGACTCAATTATGTTGTTTCTTTATAGGAGGCACAAAACACATTTTGAGAAGATATATGCTCATTACATATGCACAGGAAGCATTCATTCATCTCCTCATTTAACATGAATTACCACCCACGAAGTGTTAAGTTTCCAGAATAAAAGATAAAGATCCACCTTGCCCTATAGACCCACAGTAAAGAGAACAAGTGGGGCAGTTGAGAGAGAACACATATTAAAGTCTTCTTTGTGTGGCTGACAAAAAAAATTCATTTTCAACACAATGTATTAAGTACTTTAATAAACTAATACATAATGTGAATGTTATTGGTGACCAGGGGACAATTAAAAATTACCCAGTAGGAGGAAGCATTAGGGAGGCTTCCAAGAGGAAGAAAGACATTTACTTAACCTTGAAAGGATAGAAAGTTAACCCAGTAGATGAGTGGGCCACACATGTAAGGGCACAGAGATGTGTCACTGAAGAAATGTAGACTGGATTCATATAAAATAAAGGAATTATTAGGGCAACATAATGACACTTGCTGATTTCTGTTATTTCACTGAAATAGAATTTGATCAACATTGGCAGTGAGCAAGCTCATAATATTTAATTTGTAAGATTTACCAGCTCTGGAATATTAGATTATTGTTAAAAATTATTCACTCGTACCCCCCCCATATTTGTGGGTTGTGAATACTTGGCTATCCCTTGATTATGGGTTTGTTCAGTGATTTGCATTAGACAGTGGAATGTCAGGAGACATAAGGCTTGAAAACACTTGAGAGGTTGGGCTTTCTCACTTGCACCTCTGCTATCCCAAGGAGAAGAACTTCCTCTGTCTAGCTCACTGCTCTTGGAAGAAAAATGACAGAAACAAAAGAGCAGAGCTTCCCCACTCTAGTCCTTCTAGATCAGCCATCCTTTAGCTGATATTGAGACTTGTCAGCTTATTGTTCTATGCGTCTGAGATTCTCTGGTTGTTTGTTATGTAGAAGTGTATATTTCCTGATATAGTATGCACAATTTAAGACATAATTAACATTTCTTAAATGAATGGCTCATCACAATTCTGTATTATATTACTGTGTGATGCGGAATTAGAGAAAGGTGATGTGGAGTTTGCTTGAAATAAAAATACCCAGACACCCAAAAGAAATGATGAAGTTCCTAGACTTTGGGAGGTATGAAAGTAAGAGGAAAAGATAAAAGAATACAGAGTGGGACTTCTTCACATATTTTTTCCAAGGCATATCTGGCCCTCAACTACATGCTTATTTGGGGGGAAGTGGAATTTCTTCTGGATCTTTTAAAACTTTAATCCTTCTCCTCCAGATATACTATATTTATGAACTAGAAGACTTGATATTGTAAAGAAACCATTTCTCTCCAAGTTTATTTATCTGTAGATTTAATGTAATCTCAGCCATCATAGAACGGCACAAACTGTTCCTAAAATTTATATGGAAATTCAAGGCCAAGAATAGCCATGGAAATCTTGCAGAAGCACAAGGCTGGGGGACATTGCCAGATATCAAGACTTCTTATGAAGTTAAAATAATTAAATCCAAGTGGTATTTGTGCAAGAATAAACAAATAGACCAAAGGAATAAAATAAAGTCTAGAAATAGACCTACCTGTATATAGTCACAGGATTTCTGACAAAATTGACTCTGTGGTGCAATGGGAGAAATGGTGACCTTTTCAATAAATGTCTTGGATTATTTAAATATCCAAATGGAAAAAAAATAAATCTTGATCCCTACCCTCACACCAACAAAAAATCAATTTCCCATAGATAGTAGATATAAATGTAAAAGTAGACCAAAGAAGAAAACATAGGATACAATTTTTATGATGTATGAGAAGGCAAAAAGTTCTTAAGCCCTAAAAAAATAAATTACAATTTGGACTATAATTCTAATCCTCCAGTTTTAAAGTTATGCTACCAGTATCATTTCAGTGGGGGGAAGGGGAGTTAACATGGACCAGAAAGTATTATTATTTCATTTACTGAATAAACACTAAAGATTCTTATTCCGATCTCAAGCCTTATTTTATAAGATCCTCAATCTCTGATATAAAAGATCAAAGCTTCCTTCACTAGAGGTATGAATAGTGAGTATGGAATGAATGAGTTTTTCTCCTAATACAGATTTTATTCACTCATAATTAATGTTAGGGAGCAATTCTAGTTTTTCTCATCATTAAACTTTGTTTTAATGGGTCTCAAAATTCTGTGACAGATTTTTGGTCAAGTTGTTTCCATTAAAAAGTACTGATTTTAAAAACTAATAACTTAAAACTGCCACACAAAAAGAAACAAAAATGGTCCACAAAACATTCTCCTTTCCTTCTGAAGGTTTTACGATGCATTATTATTAACAACCAGTCTTTTACTATTAAACTTAAATGGCCAATTGAAACAAACAGTTCTGAGACCGTTCTTCCACCACTGATTAAGAGTGGGGTGGCAGGTATTAGGGATAATATTCATTTAGCCTTCTAAGCTTTCTGGGTAGATTTGGTGACCTTGCCAGCTCCAGCAGTCTTCTTGTCCACTGCTTTGATGACACCCACAGCAACGTCTGTCTCATATCACGAACAGCAAAACAACCCGGAGGAGGATAGTCTGAGAAGCTCTTGACACGCATGGGCTTGCCAGGGACCATATCGACGATGGCAGCATCACCAGATTTCAAGAATTTAGGACCATCCTCCAGCTTCTTTCCAGAGCGGCGATCAATCTTTTCCTTCAGCTCAGCAAACTTGGAGGCAAAGTGAGCAGTGTGACAATCCAGTACAGGAGCATAGCCAGCACTAATTTGGCCTGGATGGTTCAGGATAATCACCTGAGCAGTGAAGCCTGCTGCTTCCATTGGTGGGTCATTTTTGCTGTCACCAGCAACATTGCCATGACAAACATCTTTGACAGACACATTCTTGACATTGAAGCCCACATTGTCCCCTGGAAGAGCTTCACTCAAAGCTTCATGGTGCATTTCAACGGACTTTACTTCACTTGTAACATTGACTGGAGCAAAGGTGACCACCATGCCTGGTTTGAGAACACCATTCTCTACTCGGCCCACAGGGATAGTACCATACCACCAATTTTATAGACATCCTGGAGAGGCAGACGCAAGGGCTTGTCAGTTGGACGAGCTGGTGGCAGGATGCAATCCAGAGCTTCAAGCAGTGTGGTTCCACTGGCATTGCCATCTTTACGGGTGACTTTCCATCCCTTGAACCAAAGCATGTTAGCACTTGGCTCCAACATGTTGTCACCATTCCAGCCAGAAATTGGCACAACTGCTACTGTGTCAGGGTTGTAGCCAATTTTCTTAATGTAAGTGCTGACTTCTTTAACGATTTCCTCATCTCTTCTGTCTGTAGGGAGGCTCAGTGGAATCCATTTTGTTAACACAATTAGTTGTTTCACACCTAGTATGTAAGCCACAAGGGCATGCTCACGGGTCTGCCCATTCTATGAGACATCAGTTTCAAATTCACCAACACCAGCAGCAACAATCAAGACAGCACAGTCAGCCTGAGATGTGCCTGTAATCATGTGTTTGATAAAGTTTCTGTGTCCTGGGGCATCAATAAGAGTCACATAATATTTGCTGGTCTCAAATTTCCACAGGGAGATATCAATGGTGACACCATGCTCATGCTCAACTTTCAGTTCATCCAAGACACAGGCATACTTGAAGGAGCCCTTTCCCATTTCAGCGGCCTCCTTCTCAAATTTTTCAATGGTTCTTTTGTCGATCCCACCACATTTGTAGATCAGATGGCCAGTAGTGGTGGACTTGCCCGAATCTACATGTCCAATGACGATGATGTTGATGTGAGTCTTTTCCTTCCCCATTTTGGCTTTAATGGGTGGTTTTCATAGCACCTGTGTTCTGGTGGCAAACCCATTATGAAAAAAAAAAGCAGGGAGCAATTCTAAAGAGGTCATGTTTCCAATATAATTTTCTTCAATATTAGTATATTCACCACAAAGAGGCATTACAGAACAAAGAGATAATACCTCCCTACTTCCCCACCACACTTCTACAGTACTGCATTAAAAGCCCCTCTAAATAGCAAGTATTACAATAGTACATAATGATATTCTGTAGATTATTGACTACTTGATCAGCTAGTAGTGCTAAATCTCAAGTGTTAGCATCCTTGCTAACACTTGTGGTGATCACTCTGGAATGAAAATAACATCTTGCATGATGATCTGAATCAATGGGAAAGATTAGTCCATATAAGAAATTCTCAATAGTATCCATCACATAAAACAAGGTAAAATATATTAAATTCCAAACATTTCAAGAGCTAAAAGGTTCTATGGAAAGAGGGTCTCAAAATATTAACTTCCAAAGAATCATTGAGATGAGCCAAGTATAGAGCAGCCTTAGCAGTAGCCCTGTGTTCTCTTTCGGCTCTGTGATGTTCACAAACACACAGGTGGCAGGCCTCACCTGAAATGCCTGGAGACTGTCAAAAAAGGCTACTCCTGAGTAAATGAAACTGTGAGCTATTGTATCTCCTGCGGATGTGTGTCACAATGAATTTGTGCCCCAAAGCGAGGAATCAGAGAATCAGCACTGACATCATTCCATAGAGAGACGTCAGCACACCCCACAGAGAACCTTTCCTTCCTAACAGGCACATTCATTGATGTCACATAACCTACATTTCTGATTCCAAAGGAGGCCTGCAGAATAGGAAATTTCTGATTGGAAAAGATACACACACACACACACACAAGTGTTCTACAGCCTATTGCATGGGGTATTCAGATTCAACAGTATTGAGCTACATAATTAAAAACTGCCTACAAGGATTGCTCTTTTGTCTCTTTGAAAAGAAGGAGGCATAATGTGTACTGAGAGAAAAACACAGTATGTTATCAAAATTAAAGAAACATTGTCAAAAGGCCATTTTATTCCAAAATAATTTCCTCCAAAAGTTAGCATCTATAGTGATAGATGCCATACAACAATAGCTTCTTCACTGTTCATCTGACTCATTCAGACCTTGAATTAAGTTAGTAAACCCCTTCTGTATTTCTTTACTTGAAAAAAGAACAGTAAAGTAGTTGTTTCTTGCATGCTTCAAGGTCTCCAGAAAGTAAAGACTTTATGAACATTTTAAACTTGGCTGATTATTTTCTGTTCTGCCAGCTCACTATATTATGTAATAGCATGCTAATACCCAAATGCACTTAACCTTGGTAAAGACTAATTGATCAACTTTAAAATGACTTCAACTTTTATTTTAGAAGTTCACAAGTACAAAATATTTGTGGCCATTACTGGGAGAGCTTTGATGATTTATTTCTATAGAGCAGATCCAAAAGAATTTTCATTGAAAAATGAAACCCTTCTTAATCTAAAGTTGACTTTTCCCTTTAATAAAAGAAAAACCAGCCATTTATATGAGATTTATGCATAACTGGTTATGTGTTAAATACACAAGTAGCCTAATATTAATAATATATTTAGAGATTTTAGCACAATTAGAAACACATGTCACCTTCCTTATCCTTTACACATCTCCCAGAACTCAACTCCCAAATGGACTCACAAAAAGGGAGGAAGACAATTTGCCAGTTCTGAAATATTTTGTAATACAGATACTCTTGGGAAACAAAGACTATATGAAGCTAACATGTCAATCTGCATGTCTAGAAGATGATTCTGCAATGGATTTAGCAAAACACATTAAGATTCTGGCATCACCAGTTAGAAGAAGACACGAGTGGAAAGTGTCTTTTCTGTTTTGCTGATCAATATAAGTTATAATGGTGGTCAGGCTCCCAATTACACCTCCCAGTCACTGTCTCCCTTCCTACTTTTTCCCTTGATTAAATGAAATTGGCTACACTCCGATTGGCTGTGGAGATTAATTTGGGATATGTGCAGAATCCACCTGGCAAACCTGATAAAGGCAGCTTCAAAGAGTGGAAATGGAAAAAAGGCATGAATAATAACATAGGGGGATCTACAAAGGAAAAAAATATGGGGCACCATTAGATAGTGACAGTAATTACTTAAATAAATGTCAAAGCACTTGAATGAAACAAAGGGAAGACAAGTTATGAATATTTAAAGCTGAAACATGCCATTCTATTGATGTGCCATTTGGAAAGAGATTTTTCTCATGTTAGTTCAGGTAGTGTGTTTCAGAAATGCTATATAGCCTATCAGTCTTTACAATGGGCAAACTGAATCACAATTGATATAGAATCCACATGCATTTTATCCAGTCCCTTGGTGTCTCATTACTCAAAGCACTTGGTAGACTAACAGAATCTCAGACCTAGATGATATACTCATTGTTGAAAGTGGGGTATTGAAGTCTCCTACTATTATTGTATTGCAGTATTTCTCCTTTTAGGTCTAATAACATTTGCTTTATATATCTGTATGTTCCAGTGTTAGATGCATATACATTTGAAACTGCTATATCCCTTTATTTATTTGTCCCTTTTATCATTATATAATGTCTTTTGTCTCCTTTCAAAGTTTTTGACTTAAACTCTATTTTATCTGACATGAGCACAGCTATTCTTGCTCACTTTTGGTTTACATTTGCATGAAATATGTTTTTCTCTTCCTTCATGTTCATTCTATATTTGTCTTTAACAGTGAGATGAGTCTTTTGTAGGCAGAATGTAGTTTGATCTTGTATATTTTTATTTTAGAATATTACACGGGTACAAACATTTGTTTTTGTACAATGTAAGTCAATGTTATAAAGGTGCCCATCACCCAGATAGCATACATTGTACCTATTAGGTGTGAATTTACCCAATCCCTCTTTGACCCTCCCATCTGCTTGATTTCTGTTCAGTTTTACTTCCATATGTGTACATAAGTGTTGATCAATTAGTTCCAGGTTAATAGTGAGTACATTTGGTATTTGTTTTTCCATTTTTGTGATACTTCACTTAGAAGAATGGTTTCAACTTCCATTCAGGTTGTTATAAAAGGTATTAGTTCCCTATTCTTTTATGGCTGAGCAGTACTCCATGGTATACATGTACCACATTTTATTAATCCACCTGTGTACTGATGGACAATTGGGTTGATTTCACATCTTTGCAATTGCAAATTGTGCCACAATAAACATTCTATTGCAAGTGTCTTTTTTTATAAAATGCCTTTTTTTTTCCTTTGGGAAAATACCCAATAGTGGGGTTGCTGGATCAAATGGTAGGTCTACTTTTAGTACTTTGAGGTATCTCCATACTGCTTTCCATAGAGGTTGACTAGTTTGCAGTCCCACCAACAGTGTATAAGTGTTCCTTTCTCTCTGCATCCACGCCAGCATATGTTGTTTGTTTGGGGACTTTTAGATCAAAGTGATACTCACTGAAGTTAGGTGATATCTCATTGTGGTTTTAATTTGCATTTCCCTGATGATTAGAGATGCTGAGAATTTTTTCATATGTTTATTGGCCATTAGTCTTTCCTCTTTTGAAAACCTTCTGTTAATGTCTCTTGCCCACTTTTTAATGGGGTTGTTTGATTTTTTTCTTGTTATTTTGCTTGAGTTCTTTGTAGGTTCTGGTTATTAGCCCTTTATCAGTTGTTTAGCATGCAAATATTTTCTCTCATTCTGTAGGTTGTCTGTTCACTCTATTCATTGTTTTCTTGGCAGTGGGAGATCAAGCCACTTACATTTATTGAAATAATTGATATGTGTAGTGGATGTCTGTTCATCCTGTTGAGTAGAACATCATAGCTTTGTTTTATCTCTTGAGCTGTTGTGGTATCTGGGCTTTGACTGTTAGCTTTTTGGTGATTTTACATTGGTGGGTGACTATTGTGCTGATCCATGTATAATGTAGATCTGAGTTCTTCCTGCAGGGCAGGTCTTGTCTTGACAAATTCCCTCAATGTTTGCTTGTCTGAAAGAGTCTTTATTTCTCCCTGATATAAGAAACTTAGTTTTGCAGCATATGAAATTCCAGGCTGGCAGTTATTCTATTTGAGAAGACTGAAGGTGGAGCCTAATCCCTTCTGGCTTGTACAGTCTCAGCTGAGAAGTCTGCAGGTAGTCTAGTGGGTTTTCTTTTGTAAGTTACCTGATGCTTTTGCCTTTCAGCTCATAGGAGCATCTCATTCATGTTTCTTTTGGCCAGCCTGATGACTATGTGTTGTGGAGTTTGCCTCTCTGCAATGAACCTCCTGGGATTCCTTTGAGCTTCTTGTATGTGTATATCTAGATTTCTAGCAAGGCCAGGGAAATTTTCCTCTATTATTCCCTCAAATAGGTTTTCCAACCTTTGTGTATTTTCTTCTCTGTCCTCAGGGATGCTTGTGAGTCTTTTGTTAGGCCTCATTACATAATCCCACATTTTTTGCAGGCTTGTTATTTTCTCTTATTTCTCTGCTCTATCTTTTCAACTGACTTGTTTAATTGAAAAGTGTTGTCTTCAATCCCTGATATTTTTTCTTCTTCTTGATCTAACCTATCCTTGAGGCTTTCCACTGTATTTTGCAATTCCTTGAATAAATTTTTCATTTCCAGTAGTTCTGTTTGATTTTTCTTTAATATTTCAATTTCTTTAGTGAATTTTTCATTCATTCCCTGAATTTTTTATGTGTATATGGTTTGTGTTGGGTTTCCATTTTATCTTGCATTTCATTGCATTTTTTTACAATCCATGTTCGAAATTCTTCATCTGTCATTTCCATGTTTTGATTTTGGTTGGTATCTATTGCAAGAGAGATGGTGGTCCCTTTGGGGGGTGTGCTTTCAGTTTGCTTCTTCATACTTCTGGAGTTCTTTCACTGATTCCTTCCCAACTAGAGCAGCTGCTGCGTCTTACCTTTGGGTTTTTGTTTAAATAATGACATGCCCAGT